GTGAAGTAGATGGGAAATCTAATAATACTTATTTGATCTGTACAAGTGGAAAATTCTAGGTCAAGTGAGCAGCAGTCTAACATGAATCAACCAAATAGAGAGTCACAGCCCCTCAGTCAATGCGCGACTTGAGCCAGTTCACAGACACACAACCTTCCTTCTTCCAGTCTGCACCCACATATGGTCTCACGGGGCATTCCTTACAATCAGTTGACTGAGGAAGGAAAACTCATGCTTAGTTCATAGATGGTTCTGTGTGATATGCAGTCACCACTCAGAAGTGGACAATGGCAGCACTGTCACCTCTTTCTGAGATCTCCCTGAAAGACAGTGGTGAAGGGAAGTCCTCCCAGTGGGCATCATTTTAGCAGTGCACTTGGTTATTCATTTTTCTTGGAAGGACAGATGACCAGATGTGCACTGATTCATGGGCTGGGGCCAACGATTTGGCTGGATGGGCAGAGAGACTTGGAAGGAACATGATAGGAAAATTGGTGACAAGAAAGTATGGGGAAGACACATGTGAATAGACCTCTCTGAATGGGCCAAAGAAGTGATGATTTGTATCTCATGTGAATGCCAGCCAAAAGGTGACCTCAGCACAGGAGGATTTTAGCAATCAAGTGGATAGGATGATGTGTTCTGTGAAAACCACTCACCTCTTTCCTCAGCCACTCCTGTCATTGCCCAATGGGCTCATGAATAAAGTGGCCTTGGTGGCAGGGATAGAAATTATGCATTATCTCAGTAACATGGACTTTTGCTCACCAAGGCTGACTTGGCTACAGCCACTGCTGAGTGCCCAATCTGCCAGTGGCAAAGACCAATGCTAAGTTCTTGATATGACACCATTGCTAGGGGCAATCAGAAAGCAACCTGGTGGCAGGTGGGTTTCATTGGACCACTTCCATTATGGAAAGGTAGTATTCTGTTCTTACTGGGATAAACTCTTACCCTGGATAGAGGTTTGCTTTCCTTGTGTGGAATTCTTCTGCCAAAACTACCATCCATTGACTTACAGAATGCCTTCTCCACCATCATGGTATCCCATGCAGCATTACCTAGAATCAGGGAATTTACTTCACAGAAAATGAAGTGAGGCATGAGCCCGTGTTCATGGAATTCATTGCTCTTACCATGGTCCGTGGCAGGTCATCTTGAAGCAGCTGGGTTCATAGAACAACGGAATGGCCTTCTAAAGACACAATCACGGGGCCAGCTAGACGGCAGGGTTGGGCAATGCTCTCCAGGAAGCTGCCTATGCTCTAAGCAGCATCCAATATATGGTGCTGTTTCTCCCATAGCCAGGATTCATAAGTCCAGGGATCAAGGGGTGGAAATGGGAGTGACGACACTCACTATTACCCCTGGTGGCCCACTTACAAAATTTTTGCCTCCTGTCCCTGCAATGGTCTCAACAGAAGACACAATACTGATTACATTAAATTCACGGTTAAGAATGCCACCCAGCCACTTTGGGGCCCTCCTGCCTCTGCATTGACAGGAAGAGAAGAAATTTACTGTATTGGCTGGTATGATTGATTCTGATTTCAAGGTGAAATCAGACTGATATTACATAATAGAGGTAAAGAACTGTATGTTTGGAATACAAGGGATCCCTTAGGATGTCTCTTAGTCCTAGCATGCCCTGTGATTAAAGTCAATGCAAAACTACAACTCAATTCTGACATGATTACTAATGGCTTAATTCCATCAGGAATGAAGATACAAGTCATCCCACCAGGCAAAGAACCATAACCAGCTGAGGAGCTTGCTGAGGGCAAAGGGAGCACGCAATGGGTAGTGAAAGATGGTAGCTCTAAATGCCAGCTATGACTATGTGACTAGTTGCAGAAATGAGGACTGCAATTGATATGAGTATTTCTTCCTTGTTTAATATACATGTATGTGCGTATGTGTGTATATAAGTATGTGCATATACATATGGGAGCTCTGGTGGCGTAGTGCCTAAGGCATTTGACTGCTGACCAGAAGGCTGGCAGTTCAAACCCACCAGCCACTACTCAGAAGGAAGACTGGGCAATCTATTTCCATAGAGATACCACCTCGGAAACTGAAGGAGAGGTTGCTGTGAGTCGGAATCAACCTGATATATGTATGTGTGTGTGTGTGTATGTGTGAATGTCTATGTATATATACATATATGTCTCACAATATCTCTATTTTCTTCCCTCCCCCATTTCATTACTTACTATAAAACATAAGAAGTAGATGAGGCTAGTGTGCTTTTACTTGTATGCGTGATAATTTTATCATGTTAGGGGCAAGCATGATTTCATAATCATCTTTATTTAGAGATTATATATGGTTTAAGGGTATGTGTACAGATACCAAGTTGGCAAAGAGTGAACTGTTACAATCATATGTCAACTTGGCTAGACCATGAACTTGGTAGTTTAGCAAACATTACATAATCGTCCTCCATTTTGTGATCTGATGCGAGCAGCCAATCAGTTGAAAGGGGAGTTTCCTGGAGTGTGGCCTGCATCCAATATATATGTCTGTTCTGGTAAAGCTGGCCCCAATCCTGCCTCTGACCCAACATCCTCTGACTTCTGGCTCTTCATGAACCAGTAGTCTGCCATCTGACCTGCTGACTTGGGTTTGTCAGCCCCTGCAAACACAAGGGTCAGGAGAAGTGTCCAGTCTTATGCCTGACCCATGGATTTGGGACTTGCCAGCCTCCACAAATGCATGAGCCATTTCCTTGAAATAAATCTGTCTCTCTCTCTCTCTTTCTCTATGCATGTGTGTGTGTGTGTGTGTGTGTGTGGAGAGAGAGAAAGAGAGAGAGAGACCTCACTGGTTTTGCTCCTCTAGAGAACCCAGACTAAGACAGAAGACCATTATCTAAATTTCCTGAATTGGGAAACTTTGTTCCGTTTACCTGATTCCTATGTACTAAATGGTTGCATCTGTGATACAAGGATTGAGACAATATGTTCCTTATAGAAACCAGGCTCTGCTCAGATGCTGGGACGAATAAGTATAGCCCTTACGGTGCACCAACCATGCTAATATATGTGTGAGTGTCTGTCTCACGAGCAATTCTTTGCTTGGGTTTGTTACCTGTATCTGTTTCCTCTTAATTATTTTTAAACAGTATCACAATCTATCAAAAATTCAAACCCAAAGAGAACAGAAATGCTTACAGCTTCTAAGAATTTAGAAAATTTTCATTGTTGATTAACATACTTTTCACATGTTCTGTATTTCCTGATAAGTTATGATATTAAGATACCCCTGAATTATTTTTTTGGGGGTGAGAGGTTATGGAAAACTGACCTTTCAAAGGATGATTTTTGTGATTAACTACCTGCTTTAAGTAGAATTTAGTAATTACTTGTTAAATGTCTGTCTTGACTACTGGCCAGGAAGTTCTGCAGGGGTCAGCTCCTAGATTAGCACAGTGTTCACCACTTTGCTGGTACTTCAGTGAAAAAGATTATTTCTAAGAAAGATTCTTAACAAGTAGCAGGGTAATGAGGTCATTAATCATTGACAACTTTATAAACGATGGATCTTTTGTCCAAATAGCTTCTGCTTTGTGAAGTCAACAGGGGGATTCTGCTCCTTTTGGCTCTGGTTCCAGCAAGACATGAAAGGCAATTATTCCAGAATACTGTCAAGGTTCCACTTAGGTAACTTGTGGGACAGACAACCTTGAAAAGCCCTCAAAGTGATTTTCTGGGAAAATATCTTACTGGCAAAGGAGGTAGAATCTATTCCTGGTGCCATTTAATACTTTTCTAGTTGCCCATCATCTTCTCATGAAATTGAGAACCAGACTCATCCACTGGTTCTTCAAGGGTAACCAAGGCCTGGGTTCACAGCCTGTCTGTCCCTGCCTCAAGGATCCTGCCACCCACATGTCCTCCCCCATTTCTTCCTTGGCCTCCAGTGAGGCAGGAGTCTGATGAGGAAGACTACACCCCCATCTTACCAGCTATACCTGTGTCTACACTGCAGGAATTAGCTGAGGACTGGCTGATAGTGTGATGGGTTACTAGCACTCACAGCGGTGTATCATTTCCATGTTGGCTTAATTCCTCACAGTCTTTTTAAACTGCAAATACAGGCAAACCTCAGAGATAGTGAGGGTTTAGTTCCAGAACACCGCAATAAAGCAAGTCACACAAATGTTTTGGTTTCTCAGTGCATATAAAAGTTACCTTTACATTACACTGTAAGCCTATTAAGTGTGCAATAACATTATGGAAAAGTATGAAATATTGTAATGATCAAAATATGATACAGAGACATGAAGCAAGCACATGCTATTGGAAAAATGGCGTCAACAGACTTGCTTGATGCAGGATGCGCCAACCTTCAATTTGTGAGAAAGACAGAGGGCAATACAGTGATGCCGTAAAACAACCCTTCTTCTGTGTAGCAGTTAGCCTCCTTACCATACAGAGGCAGGGCTCTTCCCTCTAAAAACCCCCAACGGAACTTCAAAAATGGGCTTGCAAGTAGACTTCATATTCAATGCTTCTACCCAACATCAGGTTGAGTGACGTCATTAACTGAGAATCCAGAGAACCATGTCATGTGCCTCTGAGTCCTTCCATTTGCCTCCAACCGTGGCTCCTGGAGAAGAGTTCTGAATCCCTCTGTCCTAAAAGCTTTCACTCACTGAGTGAGTGAAACAACCTGGTCCCTTCTGAGGACAGTGAGATCACAGGTGGTAAGGTGTTTTGGGTTATTCAAAGTAAAGGTGTGTAGCACAAACCTTTATTTTAAATAATAAGACCAGAGTACACGGAATCATAACCGTTCTGCTGCTTTGTACACTATGGAGCATGTTCCCCTTTCTCCACTCATCCTCCTCAGCATTGGAGGATCCTTGTTGAAGGATGTTGCATCATGAGATACAAAAGTGATTGCAAAATGGCTGTTCCCCAGGGCTTCCCTTTACTGTGTTTCTTGTCCCAACAAGGCAACCAGCTCTGCTCAGGAAGCTGATGGAAAATACGTCTTCAGAATAAAATTCCGTCCCTTGGGGCATATTCCATTGGCTTCCTCTGCTCCTGCTTCTTCCGGTATCTGGCCTTCTGGTAGAAAATGGTGATGACCACAGTGACCACATTTAGAAGAATGACCAGCAGCATGAGCCAAAATGCAGTCCCATAGCTGTGGGTCGCACCCTTATCAGTGGCTACTGGGTAGAGCACCTGCAACAGCTTCTCTGAGATGTGGTTGGACTGTGTGTTCGCCACAAACAGGATCATGGCCAGGAGAACACAGGATGCTGGAAAGCAGATGAAGTTGCATAAATGATGTGCCACCATATTTATTAAATGCCACTTCTTTTCTTTATGGCTATGTCCCTTGTGGGCGCTCACTGAGTATCTACACTGAGGTCTACATGTTTTGAGGCCTTAGAAAGGATGCAGAAGAAACATAAGATACAAAGTCGGTTAAAGTACGAAGCAGGGGAGACTGTGTAAGGCAGGAGCCAACATTCCCGCTCAAATCCTTTCAGAAGTAGTCATGCTACTTCACCAAGGAGGATATTCAAGCGGCCAACAAACATATGAAGAAATGCTCATGATCATTAGCTATTAGAGAGATGCAAATCAAAACAACAATGAGATACCATCTTGCTCCAGCACTAGTATCAAAGTTCAACAAAACAGAAAATAACAAATGCTGGCGAGGTTGTGGAGAGATTGGGACTCTCATACACTGCTGGTGGGACTGTAAAATGGTACAACCATTGTGGAAAGCAGTATGGCGATTCCTTCAAAAGTTGGAAATACAAATACCATTTGACCCAGCCATCCCATTACTAGGTATATACCCTAAAGAAGTGAGAGCCATAACAAGAACAGATATATGCACGCCGATGTTCATCGCAGCACTATTTACAATAGCCAAAACTTGGAAACAACCTAGATGTCCAACAACTGAGGAATGGATAACCAAACTTTGGTACATTCACACAATGGAATACTATGCAACGCTAAAGAATAATGTAGAATCTGCAAAACACCGCATAACGTGGATGAACTTGGAGGACATTATGCTGAGCGAAATAAGTCAGTCACAAAAGGACAAATATTGTATTAGTCCGTTATTGTGAAAGTTAAGGAAAGGTTTATATATTGGAGGACATTTTCTTTGTTGGTTACCAGGGGTGGGAGGGAAGGGGAGGGAATGCTGTTAGATAGATAGAGATAAATATTGATTTGGGTGAAGAGAAGGGCAATGTACCAAATGTGAGTGACCAATATGGCAGCATTGAGGATGAGAAAGACAGAGAGAGTTACATGGGCAGTACAAACAACAAATATGAACCCCTTTGCAAATACAATACTGAGTTGTCAATGAAAGCAAACATGGGTATAGGGACGGATAGATGGGTGAACAAGCTAAACAATTATGTATGTCTAAATGGAGAGTGTATCCAAGATCATATACAGGGTTGGCAGACAATGGGCCTCTCAGGGTGCAGAAGAATATGAAGGGATGGACACTGGGAGGAGGTAACTATGGGGAGGAAGTGGGAGGGGAGCTGCTGCATTGTAAATTTTGGTCAATGACATGAGACAAAGTATATGTGAACTGCTGTATGAAAAGTGAATTTACTCTGTAAATCTTCACCCAAATCCTAATAATAAAAAAATAATAATAATAAAAAAAAAAAAGTAGTCACGCTGTGAATCCTAAATAAAGAAAAAGGTACATCATAGCCCACTGGCAGAGCCATGTACACAGTGGTGTGCTGACTAAAGGAGTGAAGGAGTGAGCAAAGGGGAGAACAGTCAATGGGGAAGCGGGCAAGGGAAGACGCAATGGGTGAGAGACCTGGGGAGGAGGAAGAAGGGAAACTGCGTTTCTAGAAGAGAAAGCCATCTGAACAAGGCGGTGACGTTGAGCGTGGGTGGAACCTCCTGTGACCGTCAAAGACGAGCCTGGTGGGGTGGAATGTCTTCGAGGGTCCTAAGCACCAGATACCCAAGATGAGACCACCGGGAAAGCCTGGGCCACCAGCTCAGGGGTTCACTCTGCACACAGTGGGGAGCCCCTCCCCCGTGAGCTCTCCTCACTGAGCTCCTGTCAGAAGATGAGCCCCCGTGACCTACCTTCCCTTGGTTGCTCTCCATGCTGTCCTCCACTACAGGCTTTGGGGAGCCACCTTGGCCCAGTGAGAAGAGCATGGTTGTGGACTCTGGCAGGGCAAGGTTGCAGGGCAGGGCTGCAGTGCCCAGCAGTGAGACAGGGTGGGGTTATTAATTTCTCTGGGCCCCACTCCTCATCTTCAAAGGGGGATAAGAAAGGGCTCCTGGTGAAGCTGGTGCCTGGTACTCACAGCCTTCAGGACATGCTCTGTGTGACTCTTCACTGGCAACATTTTCTCACTCTAACTGACATTTAGGCGTCAGCCTGCAACCCACACTCCAGATATTTCCAAATGGTCCCTAATTAGAGGGTATTGTGTGAGGAGACTGTTCCAACCCTCTTTACACAGACTTTCATCTTCAGTGTCACGGTTTTATTTCCTAATAGCTTGTACGAACAAAAGCCCCATCTTCTGATGGTCTCTAAGAGCCTTAATCATCCTTCATCAGGCCCTTGTGAAGCTGCCATAAAAGCTGAATCATAAGGGTCAGGACAAATACAGGGTTAAACCTTTTTTCTACAATGGAATCTCCTAGCTTTGATTCAAGCTGGGGAGGACGGGACCTGAGACACAAGCACCGAACTGAGTCCCCTCTGCCGACCACATACCCAGGGCCCTGGACCCAGCACTGGCTCTAACTGCCTGGCTTCTTCAGCTTTCAGGGACAAGGGACTCATGGAGGCCGGAGGAAACGGCATGGTAGAAGGAGGGCCTTTCAGTCCTGCTGGTCCCTCTCGAGCTGTGACCCCCACATCACCTTCTGTTCTCTGGAACGGGGGTGCCTCGGCAGAGATACAGCATGTGGAATCTAACAGGTGCAAGGTTCTCATTGGGTCCAACATACTCTATGTCAACCATTCTGTCCCCTGTTGCCAGGGCCCTGCCCCACCAGGCCGGCGTGGGGCAAGGGGCAAGCTGGGGTCAGGGGGCGCATGAACCTGAGCAAGGCTGTCTGTTGTTTCTCCTCCAAGCAGAACCCACTCCTCCTCCCTGTGGGACCATGCCCACTGCTCTGCCAGTCAAGGAGAGCTTCCTGAAGCTCCACCCTGAAAACCAGACCAGTCGCTGCTGAGTCCACTCCGACTCAGCCCCCTTGCGCGTCAGAGTAGAGCTGTGCTCCATGGGACTTCCAGTGACTGATCTTTTCCAAAACAGATTGCCAGCCAGGACTTTCTTCCAAGGCAGCTTTGGGTGGGCTCAAACCTCCAACCTCACGGCTGGCAGCAAGTGTGTTAACTGTTGGTACTACCCAGGGACCCCAGACCTTTAACCACAAATCCAAACCCATTGTACTTGAGTTAACCCTGACTCATCGTGGCCCCAGAGGGCAGAGGAGAGCTGGCCCACAGGGGCTCCAGGACTGTAATCTTTACAGAAGCAGACTGCCTTGTCTTTCTGCTGAGGAACGGCTGGTGGGTTTGAACAGCCGACCTTTTGGTTAGCAGCTGAGCACTTTCACCACTGCACCAGCAGGCTCCTTCCCACACCCTAAGTGGGTATATAATACCTCCCTCTGGCTCAGGATGCCTGGAAGTTGAGCTGGCCTGTGCCAAGGACATTTCTGTGGCATCTTGCTCTCAGCACTTTCTAAAGGCCCAGCTCCCAGCACTGAGCTCCACATCAAGGGAGCGCTTCCTAGTACTCCAGCCCTCACAGTTAGTGGGAAGAAACACCAGGGTCTCCCCAGGCCAAGTTCAGAGCAAAGCCTGCTCATGCAAGAACATGGCCTGTGGGCCTGCGATGGGAGCCTGACACATAGCTAGATGGCCACACCAAGATTTCCCCTGGCCGTTGGCAGAATCCGGTCTCCTCCCAGCAAACAATGCCTTGGGGTCATTTTTCCGCCCACCTGGTGGCCCCTCTGTGTGTGTTAGAACTTGCTCCTAAGCTGGCAGCAGGAATGTGGCATGAACTCCCTGGCTGTCAAATGATTCTTTGTTGTGAGCAGTAGGTGAGGCAGAGAGAAGGCCCGGATTATTCACCCTGCCCTCCACAGACATGCTGTGGGCTCTGCCACAGGCAAGGTCAGCCTGGCCTCACTGATCAGGGAGAGAGACGTGGAAGTGCGAGCCTGCCGGAAGACGGTATTTCCTTCCTCTTTTTAAAAATGGTGGTAAACATACACGCAACAAATCGCTTGCCTTTCCAGCATCTTCCCATGAACCTTGCGGTGACATTAGTCACACTTATCAACTGTCACTGTCCCTGTTGTTGCCCCTTGTGAGGCACTGGTGGGCTCTGGGCCCTGGAAGGTTGCAGGCATGAGCCGTGCTGGGCTGGTCCCCTCGCTCTGGCACTGGTGCCCACTCTCAGCCCTTGGCTGGCCCAACTGCCAGCTCCAGAGTGAGAGGTGATCCCAGCCAGGCCCATCAGTGAACTCACCTTCCTGCCCCAGTGACTGGTCCATGGGTTGGGGGAGTAATTCCCATGAGAAACAGGCCCAGGACTTCTGCTTAACTGCCAGGAAAGTAAGAACCCTGGTGGCATAGTGGTTAAAGCACCTGGCTGCTAACCAGAAGGTCGGCCCAGCAGCCGCTCCTTGGGAGCAAGGTGTGGTAGTCAGCTTCCATGAAGATTACAGCCTTGAAACCCTTCCTTGGCAGCTCTACTCTTTTCTGCGGTTGGCGGTGCAAGTCTACCCAGAGGGACCTCAGAAGAAAGACGTGGTGATCCACTGCCAAGATACCAGTCGTGGGAACCCTAGGGAGCACAGCTCTGCTCGGACACACACAGGTCGCCAAGAGTTGTGGTCAACTCCGTGGCACCAGGGGATGGTAGGGAAAGCTCAGAAAGAGAGGAAAAGGCCGTTTGTGTCCACATGAAGCTGCACCAGCCTGATGCCAACATCCCTGCAGCTGAGATGTGAGTGTGCGATGGGATCCTATGCCCAGGTTGGCTGGGACAGCCCCAGGCTCCATCTCTGGTCCTGGCTTGTTTAGTAAGAGCGCCCCCTCCTTTCTAGAAGTGTCCCCATCTGATCGGGAGGTACAAAGCTCTTCCTGCTCACCTCGGCTCTTCCCAACGCCATGGTCAGTGACCTCACATTGGCAGCTTGAAAGGACCAAGGGGAAGTTTTGACACCATGTGAATCAGCACAAGCTCCATGGCAAGTGATCCCTGCCCAGTGGTGTCACGGGGTTGGTGTCATATTCCGGCACATGAACCAGTCCCTCCCCCCTCCACCCCATACCTCTCCACCCTCGCAGGGAGAAGGACCATCTGCCCCCCCATGGCTCCCTGCAGCTGCTCCCCTCTCGTCCTGGCCAAAGTGGAGCCCCTCCTCCGCACCCCATACCCTGTGGGATGAGTTGACACACTGGGTGATGGGTGAGTCTGACCCTAGAGATGCCACTGCCTCGGGGCCCCTCTCCCTGTGGCACCAGATCACGAGGTGCTGGTCCACCTTCCACCTCTGCGGATGCTGGGGTCATTGATGTCACCCCCTCTGGTAGGGTCAGGGGCTATGGCCCTCTTAGTGATGCCACTGTCCTTGCCCTGAGAACGTAGCTGAGCCTTCACTAGCACCTGCCTAGGTAGCCAAAGCATGGAACTGCAGGGCTTCTCCCTGGCACCCTGCACCAGGTGCAAGGTGAAGGAGAGAGGAAGGGAACAGGGGAAACCTGGCCAACTGGCAGGGGCAAGGCCTTGAAAGGAGGCTGGACAGGCCAAGGGGCTCCCCGCTGACCCTCACCCTGACTCTGGGTGGGCCGTGATCTACTGTCATCATGGCTCCATCCTCCAGCTCAGCTCCCTCACTCAAAAAACAAATAGAATAACCTAGCTGCCTCTCTGAGCTCACAGGTGGCCCGCAAGGAGGGCATTGGCCCCAGATTCTCCTAAGCGACATTATTTGTGGCTTTCTGGGGTATAATTATGCAGACATGTCATGTTCGGCTTCAAGCCCAAGTTGACTGTAGTCAGGTGTGTTTAAGCATGTGTATTTGTGTGCACATGTGTACATATGTACATACTGGGCACCATGTGCAGGTGTGTACATGTACATGTGTGTGCACACGTGTACAGCCATGTAGCTGTGTGTACTGCATTTAGGCATGATGTGTATACATGCACATGTGTGCACACCCTTGTAGCTGTGTGCACCTCATTTAGGTGGGCACGTGTGCATACGTGTGCAGATGTGTGTGTGTTGTGTACGTCTATCCATCTCATGGGGCCTGCTGTGGATTGAGCACATGCAGGAGCTCAGAGAATGCTTCCTTGGTTTCTGGGCACTTTGTTCACGCCCTTGCATTCTACACTCGAATGCAAAAACAGTGCTGTGGATATTCTAGGGCCCCCTCCTCACTGCACTCCTTGTCTTCCACCGGTGCATTTGAAACAGAATTCTAAAGGATGCTTAATAATGGCTGAGATGGACAAAACAAACGCCAGTCCCAGCACAGGACCCAGCACATCATAGGGCCTCCTCACTGCCTGCGGCGTGACTGTGGCTGTGTGCTCGGGTGTTTGAGACAGTTACTAAGAAAACGTGGCTTGCTGTAGGGCACCGCATCTCCCTGGGTATACTCACCACCGAGCCCGTTCCAGGTGTACACTCCTGTTGGCCCCAGGAACGTCTGGTAGGGGTTGCTGATGCTGTTGTATAAGGTGAACCCAGAACTCAGCAATGAGGTGAGCAAACTCAGGACCACGAACAGGATGACCACTGAATGCAGAGTTTTCTGGGACGAATTGCTCAATGTCCCTAAAACTAGAACAGTGTCTGGTAAGTACATGTTGTTGTTGTTCTTATATGCTGTCAAGTCAGACCTGACTCATAGTAACCCCTCTTTGGGTTTCCAAGGTAGTATCACTACTGAAGTAGATTGCCCCATCTTCCTTCCGAGGAGTGGCTGGTGGATTTGAACCGCCAGTCTTCTGATTAGCAGTCAGATGCCTTAGGCACTGTGCCACGACAAAACCCTCCAGACCAGAAAGCTGCAGCATCCCTGTCCCAACTCTGCCCATGTGCTCCTCTCATAGATGCTTGAGTTCAGAGAGGTCTCTGAGTCCTGTGAGACTGGACTCCAGAGGCCCCCATCCCTCGCTCCAGGGGACCCAGCAGGTCACCAGGCAGCACTGCCGCTCGGTACCAGCCCCACAGTCGGCTGCAGCGTGGGCTGCTCTGGTCTAAGGCTTTTGGTTGGCTGATGTTCGGACGTAGCCTGCAGAACTTTCTTCCTAGTCCGTCTTAGGCTGGAAGCTCCCCCGAAACCCGTTCTGCATCACAGCCATGTGCAAGCCTCCACTAACAGCTGGGTGGTAGCTGTGTGTGGGGTACATTAGCCAGGACCCAAACCCGGGCATGTCTCCTGCACGGAAGAGGAGAGGGCTTCTGAACCACTGCCCTCCCTGGTTCACTGTTATTTCTCAAGGAATATGGCCCAGAGGAGGAGCTCTGGTGGCATAGTGCCTAAGCATTTGACTGCTAACCAGAAGGCTGATGGTTCAAACCCACCAGCCACTCCTCAGAAGGAAGGTTGGGCAATCTACTTCCGTAATGATACCGTCTCGGAAGGCCAAGAGGAGGTCGCTATAAGTCGGATCCGACTCGATGGCAGTGAGTCAGTTATGGCCCAGAGGGGACCTGGGGCTCTTGTAAGATTGGATCCTCCCCGTACTGGAACCTGTGACCTTTCGATTTGGGGATCTTCATTCCCCAAAAAAACTTTAGACTTTTTGAAATTTTTTTTGTTTGTTATAATCATCAGTTCTTTATGAGGGAGTTAAATTACCCTCCCATGGGGCAGAAAATGAGCGTGAAAATATGACCAGTCCTCCTGCTATCCCAGACACACCCTTAGGAGCTGGTGTCAAAGGGTCTTACTGCAGACATTTGTCGCAAGCAGAACATAATACAAGGAGCAGGCAGCTGAGAAGAGAGGGGAGGGCGTAGCAGAGAGAAAGTGCAGAGGAGAAAGGGGGAAGGAAAGAAAGGCAGCAGGACAGAAGTGGGGCCTTGCCTTCAAAGCCCAGCCACAGGGCCCTGGAAAACCCACAGGAGGACAGACTGGACTCCAAGACCAGGTTGCCGTTGAGCCGGGCCCAACTCCCGGTGCCTCCGTGTGTGCGGGTAGAGCTGCGCTCCATCGGGTCTCAAGGGCTGAGTTTCAGAAAGAGATCACCAGACCGTTTTGCTGAGGTGCCTGAGTGGGTTCGAACCTCCAACCTTTATGTTAGCTGAGATGCAAAGTGCTTAATGATTTGTGTCACTCAGGGATTCCAAGCAGATGCAGGAAGGGGGAAATTGTCAGCTCAGTTCTGCAGCGTGGGGACAGTGAATAACCTACCCATGCTTGACTAGAGAATATTTCACTGCTGCCAGGGAGAGAAGGCATTGTCATCAAGGTAGACTCGTACACGTGCATGCACCGGTACTTGCTGGTGATTGGACTGTTTTCCAATTGTTCTTAATGACCCATGCAAAGAACGCAATTAAATTCTTGGCACATTGCTCATAGCTGTGCATCCCAGGTAAGCACATGAACAGGGCATTGGCTGAATGAAAAGTGTAGTCACGTCACTCACCACTGGTTGCCCGGGTGGGATGGGTGGAGTCAGCTGGTCCTCGCCCACGGTCTGCCCTCTGGTTGCATCTTTCAGACTCATGTGGAGATGCAACATTTAGGAGGAGCCATACGGCTATAGTTTGGCACACACCTATTCTGACACTGGTGGAGGGTGACAGTCACCCGAGGACGAACAGGGAGAAAAAGCAAGAGCACATCAAACACACCTGGTCCGCGGAGCAGAGTCAAATACCACAGATGTCTCAAAGCTTGTTTTTATTGCTAGATGCCACTGAATTGGTTCCAACTCATAGTGACCCCATAGGCAACAGGACGTAACACTGCCCAGTCCTGCACTGTCCTCACAATTGCTGTCATGCTTGAGCTCATTGTGGCAGCCCCTGTCACTCCATCTCATTGGAGACCTCCATCATTTCTGCTCACCCTTGGCCTTACCAAGCATGGTGCCTTCTCCAGGGACTGGTCCCTCCTGATGGCCTGTCCAAAGTACGTGAGACAAAGCCTCTCCAGCCTCACTTCCCAGGAGTATCCTGCCTGTTCTTCTTCCAAGAAACACTCGTTCATTATTCTGGCAGTCCATGGTATATGCAATATTGTCATCAACATCATAATACAAATTCATAATTCTTTGGTCTTCTTTGG